GCTGCGCTCCCACCAGTCACTGCTGGGGGCCAGACGCCAGATGCGGCGGGGCACGCTGGCATCCGGGTACTGCTGCCGCTCCTCCACGACCCCCGGAGGGGCCAAGGGGGGGGGCAGGGGGCTGACGTGCCCCAGATGGTGCCAGGCAGCCTCCAGCCAAATGGCAGGCTTGCAGCAGCAAGTCCAAAAACTGGACCAGAATGCCCAGGGCGAGCTCTGGCTCCATGGTGCCAACTGCGGCGGCGTCCCCAATGAGAACCACCAACATAAGCAGGCAGAGAGGAAAACGCTGTTTCTCAGCGAGGTAGGCAAGCAAACGAAAAAGCTTAGAACCAGCTGTCCAGGGGGTCCCTTTAAGCATGAGCCTCAGATAGCCTCAGACAGCAGCCACACAAAGCAACTACTGACCTGATGCCCTGCTGGAACCAGTTTCAGCTTTCCTTAAATGCGACCCAGCATCCAATCAGTGTGGACACGCTATTTCGAATTAGCAAAACGCTAATTCGAATTAGTTTTTGGGTCTAGATGCGTTATTTCGAATTAGCGCTGTAGTGTAGACATACCCTTAGAGACTAACAACTTATTTCAGCAGAAGCTTTTGTAGGCAAAGATCCACTTTGTCAGATGCACTGGAGTGGAAATTACAGAGCCAGGCATAAATGTACTAGCACATTTAAAGAAGGGAGCCACCTTATCAAGTAGAGCAGTGGTTTCCAACCTTTTTACACCCAAGATCACTTTTTAAATCTCAGAACAGGTGATGATCTACTGCCCCGCCCCTTCCTTGAAGCCCCGCCCTCTCTATTCTCCTTCCTTCACTTGCTATCCCCAGCCCTTACTTACACACTATGATAAACAGTTTATTTTTAAATTATGCGATACATACAATTAAAATCAGGTGTTTATAGCTATGAAATAAATGGTCTGTTTTTTATTCATGCTATTTAAATCTAAAATGAAGCATTTATAATTATACATTTTGTGGGGACAGAGTTCTGCAGCTGGGGGACTTTATTAATATCCCTCTCTCATGCTACTACATTTATGAGCTGGGAAAAGAGTGTGCACGTGTGGGGGCAGGAGAGGGAGGAGGACACTGGTTGGAGTTAACACTGTTACGGACTGTTCTTATAGCAGTCAAAGGAAAACTGGCCAGAAAAATCAGGGCATAACAGAATCCAAGGTTAGGAATATTTCGAGTCAAGGCAGCTCAACCAAAAGTGGCAAGCAAAGGGAGTAATTTAACTGAAAGGTATAAAGAAAAATAGTTTGAACATTTATGCTTGTGATAGAAAGGCCAGCACAAATGGCTCATGGGAAAAAAGAAATTTTCAGATGCATCCATGAAAGAAATCCCAATTTTGCTGAGGTAAAGAAAATGGTTCACTGTATGCTCCTGAATCAAAGCAATAGATAAATAAATCAAGCATCCTGTGGCCTGCTGGGGACTAACCCAGGCGAACTGCATCTGGCTTGTGGGCTGCTTATTGCCCACCTCTGCTATAGTTCATAAAACCATTGAAAACCTCTTATGGGAGTCTAGGGATGTACAGCTACCAGTAAAGGCATCGTGTTGCTCAAGACTGTTACAAATGCTGTTTAATAAGGGGTTAGCACAGCCATTTTTAATATAGTCTATAGCCGTGGTCACCAACCAGTAGATCGCAATCTACCGGTCACTCTCAGAGGCTCTAAGAGTAGCTCTTGAGCCAGCTCTGAACTGCACACATGCGCAGTACATTTACATTAGATTTCCTCATTTGAGGAGCAGCTACTCACCGAGAAACACCAGCGGTGAGTAGATGCCAGGAATGGTGGGAGGTTGGGAGGGCTGAAAACACCCAGCCAGCTGGCTGTGGGTTCTGCCCGGAGGAGGCTGCCCCGCGCTCCAGCTGATTGGCGGCTTCCCTTGTGCACCAGCCCACGTGGAGCGTGGTGCACCCTGGCTGAGCGCCATGGCCAGCTGGCCGGGCAGCCCAGGGAGGCTGCACCTAGCTCCAGCTGTGCTGGAGCAAGTTTCCCTGGCTGAGCGCAGGACAGCCGGTGGGCGGGAACAGAAGTGGCTGCCCGGCCAGCTGACCATGGAGCTCAGCCAGGGTGCACCAAGCTCCACGTGGGCTGGTGCACAAGGGAAGCCACCGATCAGCTGGAGCGCGGGGCAGCCTCCTCCGGGCTGAACCCACAGCCAGTTGGCTGGGGTTTTTCAGCCCTCCCAACCTCCCACCATTCCGCGCAGCTACTCACCACTGGTGTTGCTCGGTGAATAGCTGCTCCTCAAATGAGGAAATCTAATGTAAATGTACTGTGCATGCGCGTAGTTCAGAGCTGGCTCAAGAGCTACTCTTAGAGCCTCTGAGAGCGACCGGTAGATCGCGATCTACCGGTTGGTGACCACGGAAGTAGAGGATCAGTGCTAACTAGGCCAATTCAAAACACGTAGATGGTATCATAAGCTTTGGTGGGCACAACCCACTTCTTCAGATGAATGGAGTATTAAAGGTCCAGTTCCAAAATAAATAGTAGGTGATGAGGGGGAGAGAAGGAAGAGAAAAAAGGGAGAAAAAGTCAGTTAGAGTGTTCATGTTACATGAAGCTGTTAGAGAAGGTGCAAATTGTTTTTACATACCTCTTGTTTGGTTTTTTTTAATTCATTAGGATGTGGAAGGTAGTGTGCTAGCTGGATAATGTCTTTATTCATACCTTTGTGATGGGTTCCAAACCTGTAAATGAAGTTAAGTTCCAAGACTTCCCTGTGTATTTGGCTTGTGAAATTGGCCTGAAACAACATGGTGACTTTGAGATCCATTAATGAGTGCCCGGGCTGGTTAAAGTGTTCTCCAACAGGTGTCTGTGTGTTGTCTTTTTGGATATCTGATTAGTGCTGAAGAAGTGGGTTGTGCCCACGAAAGCTCATGGTATTATCTACAGGTTTTGTTAGTCTGTAAGGTGCTGCTAGACTATGATTTGTTTTTAGACTAACTTGGCTACCCCTCTGAAGCTTTTAGGCCAATTCAGTTAGGGTGGATGTGGCCCACTCCCAACAGTTGATGAGGAGGTGTGAATAAGAAGAAAGGAAAACATTAATTTTGTAGTGAGCCAACTATTCCCAGTCCCTCTTCAAACCCAGATTAATAGTGTCAGGTTTGCAAATTAATTTAGTCCATTTATTCTTTTGCATGGAGATTGTCTGGTTTGGCTAATGTACATATAGCAAAAGAGCATTGCTGGCACATATCACATTAGTACATGTGCAGGTGAATGAGCCCTTGATGGTGTGGCTGATGTGGTTAGGTCTTGTGATGGTGTTGCTTGAGTAGAGATGTGGGCAGAGTTGGCAAGGGGTTTGTTGCAGGATATTTGGCTGTGATATCAGCTACTATAATCCCACACAAATATCTGTTCTTACCCCAATATAGTTAGCTGTAGCTCAAGTTGTACTGCAGTGCTGAAGTTTCAGAGTTTAAATCCTGAAACATTTGGGATCACTTTTCTTCATGCATGCCATGTGTCAGGTTTTTGTTACATGTTCATGGACTTAAATTTTGTATTTATTTTGAGTGTCACTTAAGTTTAATAGTGGTATTTTAGCTGTCCCATCAGATGTTGTACATTTTCTAATATATGTGAGTTATTCACCTAAATTTTAAAATCTATAATGTTTAATCTATGACTTGGTAAACGTGTAGAGCCCTGTGCAGATACAAAATGTGTATCTGAATCTGTATTCATAACAATGAGTCATAGATATTCGCATTGACATCCATGGATGCAGATACCTGCAGATATCTGCAAATTTGCAATGTTCTAGAAACAAAATTTGTATCTGCATCTGCATCCATATCTGCAAAAATGAGCTGTGGATATTCGCATCCACATCTGCAGATATAAAGCAGATGTTCATGGATTTGCAGCACTCTCCAACTGTGACCAAACTGAAACAACAAAGCAAACTGTATCTGAAATATTGTTTGCGGTAAATCTACTTCTGATATGAAAAACATCTCTTTGGTCTTAAAAATCTAGAGGATTAAATAATCTGGTTATGGTGGGTAGTGGCCAAGAGAGGTCGCATCCAACATTTTGATTTAGTTTGCATGTTTCATTGCTTTTCCATTTATGGCTTGTTTGATTCCATTTTTCATTTCACATTTCTTTTCTTGTGCATTCTAGGAGCCTGATTCCGAATTCACAGTTTCTCAGGTAAAAAATTTCATAAGATCCAGTATTTGAAAAATAAACACTAAGCAGAGGTTATGGCATGTTGTATAGTGATGTTTGTTTCATTTAATTCATTAGGGCTTGTCTACATGGTGACTTAATATGGCAAGCTGTGGAAATGAATGAACAGCTTTTTCTAACAGAAACACATTAAAGTGCAATATGAAACATTGTGTCCAGCAGCAGGGTCCACCTGGTAAAGCAGACAAGAGCGCTGTAAATTTACAAATAAGCTTGCTACACATGGGGTCTCGGTATAGACTTCACTTGTTCTCCCTCCCCAGGCCCTGATTGACAAGGGGGCAGTAGGGGGGAGCATGCAAAGTCTCCTCCACCTCCAAGGCAGAGGTATCTAGAGGGAACCGCCAGTTGTTCAGAACAGCTGGCCATTCTCTCGGGGGTGGGGTAAGACTGTGCATTCCCCCATCCTCAGACCAATCAGGGTCTGTGGGTGAGGAAGCACGGAACTGTCCTAGCCCCACCCCTTCCGCCTGAGGCCCCGCCCCCACTACAAACATTTCTGAAGTGGCCCCATGGTCAAAAATTATTGCCTACCCCTGATCTTATGGCTGTTCTGTATCTTATGTGAAATAAACTTGTCTCAATCCAGTTCCTACTAAATCCATGTGAAAAAAAAATTCTCTATGCCCAGAAACGTGCTAGGTTGGTTTGTCATAAAAAAAGAAAAGACATGACCTCTGCCTTTAAGAGCAGACAGGCTAAATTAAATCTGATAAAACTATGAGTGTTAAGTAAACAACGAGGGAAGAGGAAGATGATGAGGGTAGACTCATGTAGTTACTGAGAAGAGCCAGTGTGCTCCTGTTATTGTTTTTGGTTGGATGGGTTTTTAGTTTTTGTTTTACTTTTGGTTAATTACTTCTCTTCCCTCACACTTCTCATAGGGGAGATGGCAGAAATAAGTTTTAAGGATGGATTTAAATGTTGTTACTGAGGTGATTTCATGAATGACTTTCGGAAGCATGTTAGAAGCATAGGAGGCATCATGAAAGAAGGCAGAGACAACTGTGGAGAAAACATTGAGCCATAGAGACTAGTGTGGTGAAAACGATGGAGTACAATGGGAAATTTCACTTGGTAGAACCATGCTAGTAATGGCAAAAAGCACAAGGTCACAACTAGGGATATTAGATATCGGGAAATTGAACAGTTGTGTAAACGCATTAAATCTTTGTGGTTACATGACTATTCGATAGTCCCTGGGGTGGGGCTGGCAGCCAGTGTGCTCGCAGCCCCACTCCCATGCTGTTGCCTCTGTATGAGAGGCAGCGGCGCAGGGTGACAGGGAGAGACGGTCTGCAAGGGGAGACCGTTTAAAAACCAGCTCCTCGCGCAGACCGGCTTCCTCCCCCCCCCCATGCTGCTGCCTCTGTATCAAAGGCAGCAACACAAAGTGGCAGCAGGGTGTATGGGGGGGGTCCAAGCTCCCCATGAACAGAGGCTGCTCCATGGGATGTGGAGCAGCCTCTGTCCATAGGGCACTCGGACTCCCCCACAGACAATGGCTGCTGCTATTAAGCAGCCTCTGTCTGCGGGGTGCTCAGGTCATCATGGACAGAGGCTGCTTCACGGTATCCTCCCCTGCCCCCGCCCCCTGCTGCTGCCTCTGATGGGGGGGGGAGGGGAGAGGCAGCACCACGGAGCTGGTGCTGGGGGGAAACTGGCTTTTAAGCCAGCTCCCCCCCCAACCCTGGCTCCTACTGATATAGAGGCTGCAAGCAGGGTGAGGAGGTGGAATTTGTGTAGTCAAGAAGATTAACCGACAAGCCTAGGCTTATCAGTTAATTATATAGTTGACTACACGTTGATATCCTTAGTCAAAACATTGTAGTAGGGAGCCAACAAAAATGCCTTAAAAAGGGGAGTGCCCTTCTTGGCAGCCTCTGAAAAAGGAAGATAATTAAATGGCACAAACAGTGGCATGCTGTATTGCAATGTTGACCCCCAAAAGAGCAGCTTCAGATTCTACTTCCTGTAAGTTTTCCAGTTACCCCTTAAAGTTATTTGAAATAAGCAAATAAATCGAAAATAAATACTTTTTCATTCTAATATGTAAATTATACCATGTCTTAACCCTATACTTTGAAGCTATTGTTCTGATACTGGTTAAAGTCAGCCAACACTTCTTGAAATGATACATAATAACAATCATAATGGGTTAGACCAAAAGTCAATTTAGCCCTGTATCATGTCTTCTGACAGTAGCCAAAGCAAGGTGTCTCAGAGGGAATAAACAAAACAGGAAATTATTAAGTTATCCATCCCCTGTCATCCATTCCCAGCTTCAAGTAAACAGAGGCTAAGGGCATCCCTGCCCATCCTGGCTACTACCCATTGAAGGACCTATCCTTTGTGAACTTATCTATTTTTCTTATCTTGGACTTCACAACATCCTCTGGCAAAGAGTTCCACAGGTTGACTGTGCATTGTATGGAAAAAAATACTTCCTTTTGTTTGGTTTAAACCTGCTGTCTATTAATTTCATTTGGTGAAACATAATTTTTGTGTTAGGAGAAGAAATAAATAGCACCTTCTTATCTACTTTCTCCACACCACACATTTTATAGGTCTCTACCATATTCCCCTTCTCCCTTAGTCCCAATTTTATTAAGCTTTCCTCGTATGGCAGCTTTTCCATACTCCAATCATTTTTGTTGCCCTTCTCTGTAGCTTTTCTAATTCCTATATATATTTTTTGAGATAGGGCAACCAGCTCTGCGTGCAGTATTCAGGATGTAGGTGTACCATGGACTTATATAGAGAAAGGGTGGGCAAACAACATACCAGGCCATGTCCAGCCCATCAGCCCTTTTTATCTGGCCCTCGAACACTCACCAGGGAGTGGAGTCAGGGGATTTCCCAGCTCTGCCCACTCAATGCTCTCTAGCACCCAACTCACAATTCCTTGAAGTGCATCAACTTCCAATATGCATAGCCACACTGCGCAGGTATGACTTCACCATACTGTTTCTGGCATCAAAACCCTGCATCTACGTGGCCATGCACCCCATCTCCTCTTGTTCTCCTCCAGCCCCACCCTTGAGAACCTCAAAATCATCCAGTGACTGCACCCATCCCAACTAGGGTGTCTCCATTCTTAGTAGTACCTGGTATGGCCACCTTTGTGTCACTGCTAGCAGAGGCCCTATGAGTTCCTGGTACCACCCCTGTAAAGCACCTTCCCATGAGTCCCTCCTCCCCCCAACTCAATAACATCCTTTATAGAGTCACCCATGCTACAACCCACAGAGTCCTCTTCCCCTACTTCAGTAACATCCCTTAGCATCCCTTATACCACCCATGACACACCGCATGAGTACTCTTGCCTCACCTCGGCTCATCATACAATTTGATACCTAGAGGAGTCCCTCAAGCCAAAAAGTCTCCTCCTCCCCAATATAAAGGCAATATGATATTGTCTGTCTTATTATGTATTTCTTTCTTAAGGATTTCCAACATTCAGATCACTTTTTTGAAAGCTCATGCATGTTCAGTGGATGTTTTCAGATAACTGTCCATCACTCCAAGATCTCTTTCTCGAATGGTAACAGCTAATTTAGACCGCACCATTTTATATTCATAGTTCGGATTCTGTTTTCTAATGCACATTATTTTGCATTTGTCAATGTTGAATTTCAACTGCCATTTTGTTGCCCAGTTACCCTGTTTTGTGAGAATTTTTTTAAGCTCTTAGTTATGTCACAAGCAGACTGCAGTCTTGAGTAGTTTTGTATCATCTGCAAATTTTGATACTTATTCCTTTCTCCAAATCTTTTATTAATATTTTAAATAGGACTGGTCCCAATACAGACTCAGGGAACGCCACTAGTTACCTCTCTCAATTCTGAAAACTGACCATTTATTCCTACCCTTTTTTCCCTATCTTTTAACCAGTTACCAATCCATGAGAGGACTTTCCCTCTTACCCTATGACATCTTAAGAACCTTTGGTGAGGGACCTTGTCAAAAGCTTTCTAAGTACACTATAGCTACTGGATCCTTCTTGTCCACATTCTTGTTGACCCCTTCAAAGAATTCTACTAGATTAATGAGGCATGAATACCCTTTACAAAAACTACATTGACTCTTCCCCAACAAATTATGTTCACCTATATGTCTTACAGTTTTGTTCTTTAATATAGTTTCAGTAAATGTGCTTGGTTCTGAAGTTAGAATTACTGGCCAGTAATTGCCAGGATCTCCTCTGGAGCCCTTTTTAAAATTAGCTATCCTTCAGTCATTTGGTATGGAAGCTGATTTAAATGATAGATTACATACATGGGTTATTAGTTCTGCAGTTTCACATTTCAGTTCTTTCAAAACACTTTGGTGAATATTATCTGGTCCTGGTGACAAGAATTCTTCCATTTTGCGTTTGATAAGAATTACATTTCTCTGCAATGGCATTATTGGCTTTAAATGCTCTTTAAGTTCCATGATCATCCAGTGGCCCCAGTAGTTGTTTAGCAGGCTTCCTGCTTCTAATGTAGTTAAACATTTTTTTGCTATTACTTTGAATTTTTGGCTAGCTTTTCTTCAAGTTGTTTTTTGGCCTTCCTAATTATATTTTTACACTTCATATTACACGCTACACTTTCATAATGCTTCTTACTATTTTCCTCACTAAGATAGAACTTTCATTCTTTAAAGGTTCACGTGTACCAATAACTAAGGCTATGTCTAGACTGCAAGCCTCTTTCGAAAGAGAGCGTCTAGACTGCACGCGGAACTTTCGAAAAAGCAAGCCGCTTTTTCGAAAGAAAGCACCCAGTGAGTCTGGATGCTCTCTTTCGAAGAAGCCCTATTTACATTCAAGAACGCCTTCTTTCGAAAGAGCACTTTTGAAAGAAGGCGTTCTTCCTCGTGAAATGAGGTTTACCGCCATCGAAAGAAAAGCCGCGTTCTTTCGATTTAATTTCGAAAGAACGCGGCTGCAGTCTAGACGCAGGTGAAGTTTTTTC